AATATTTGATATTTTATCTTTGATTAGAATATTTTTGATATAAGTATAACATTTTAAACTTGAGGGATCTAAGTATTACATATCTACTTCAGGGGTCTAGTTGTAATTTACTAACAAATATTCTAACGGGCATTGATGACAGAAATCTAAGTGTTAGGTGCAAATAAATCTTAGGGGATTTGTGTGTAATATTTTAAATATCAAAAAATCTAGCGATTAAATAACAAACTTTAGAAGATTTAAATGTAATTTTGTCTTAATTTTAACATGATATAAGAATCATTAATCCGTCATTTGCAAGGCTCGGCATGTGTCCGCCATTCTTCTGGCCTCGGACCCTTTTTTTGTTGCCGTCAATTTCCGTCATTGATATCTTTGTTTTGAACCGGAATGCTGCTGTCTTTGACAGTGTTATATGTTCCTTGTGGTTGACCTTTCGACTCCGAAGAAAGCACCGGTAGTCCTTGTTATCCTAGAGCACTTATGACTTGGGGAAATCTAACCCAACAACCTTTCCATAGTCCCAAGTAGTTAAAAATCAACCCACTTAATTTGATTCATTCCCAATTGGTGTCTTCTTTGTCCAACATTTGCAAGAAGTGTAATTGCTTGCATTTTGGTTGCATGACGTTAATCTCATGCTCATGCACATGCTTCTATCAATTTATATTTGCACAATGATCATTTCGTGCATATTTCCATTCAATTTATCATTCAATGGGAGTTTATCCAGACAAATCTGGACAGCAAATTCTTCATCATAATTCACCTCGTGTAATCTTAAAATTGTCGTCCTAGGAGCTGGCACTTTCAACAGATAACATCCAGTTCATTGGTCAAGTTGATCACTTCATATCAATAATTTCGTGTGTAAACTTGAGGGGGACTGTTGAAGATAAAAATATATCCCAATATCTAGGGGATATTATGTGATTGATAGTCAATCAATTAACCAGATTTAGTGGTATAATTTGATTTCTGATTTATGTCAATCCCTAGATTAAGGAATATGATCAAGAATAATAAAGATGTAGCCCTTTTATGGTTTTGTGTGTGGCCGTAAATCAAAGGATCGAACCACGTTAATTTTTTTGGTGTTCATTCTTATTGTATATTAGACACATGTTTATTTCAAAAGTCAAAAATCTGCAATCTTGGTGTTGATTTATTCACATTGAAATCTCATATATTTACTTTCTTTAAATTTATATTTATTTCCCCAAAAATAGCTATTGACCAATTACTTTCACATGTGCTGAATAAGTGGGTTGATTCCCACTCAATCATTCAATCGTTGGAGCCTTAATTGGCTCAATCAAAGGAATCCTTTCCTTTTTCTTTATCTTGGGCAACCTATATAAATGCTTCACGGGACAAGGCAGAGATACAACAAGCAAACCTTTTCTTCTTCTTGTTCTGCACACTGAAGACTTCCTAAGCCAAAGACATCAGCTTTTCTTAGCCAAAATACCCAAGCCTTCTTCTTTCGTCTTCACAAAAATTATTTCTTCATTAGTTTTTTCAATAATTTTAACTAGTGGGCTAATCCAATTCGAGTTGTTCCTCCCTCCTCACATTACGAGTGCATGTTTACGAGAAGCGGTCATTGTATCCTGGAGGGTAGTCGCCATTGTCTTGCTGCACCAAGATTCGTATTTCGAGGGGCGAAATTTATCCTTAAGGACAGTGATTACTCACGCCTTAACCGATAAATTTCTTTGATCTCTCTTTATTATTGTATTTAGCATCCGTATCCACAATTCGTTTACAACAATCTTAAGGATAAAGATGGCCATGGATGCTGCATTGCTTACAACTAAGGCTTTTCCCGACACCTCAAAAATTGAGATGTTTTTTGGAACCTCCTTTAAAAGATGGCAAGAAAGAGTCTTCACTGCTTTAGATGTTATAGGGATTGCCTTTGCTCTATTTGAACCCAAACCTGAAAAGGACTCTGAAAACTGAAATATCACTAAAAATATGGGAACATGCCAACAAGATTTGTAGGAACACAATCCTTAGCACATTAGCTAATGACTTATTTGATGTATATTGCCCCTACAAAGAAGCTAGGGAAATTTGGGAATCTATGAATAAGAAATATACAGTTGAGGATGTTAGAACTCAAAAGTTTACCATTGGGAATTTTCTGCACTACCAAATGACTGATGAAAAAGACATCCAGTCACAAATCAATGAGTACCGTAAGTTGTTAGACGACCTAAAGAATGAAAATATTAAGCTCCAAGAGGAGTTTGTTGCAGGAGCTCTAATTGAAAAACTTACTGAGTCATGGAGAAATTACAAACAATCTCTAAAACATAAGAGGAAACACATGTCACTAGAAGATGTCATCGTCCACATCATCATAGAAGAAAAGAATAAGAACCAACTCAGGGCAGTTAAAGCCAATGAGATATCCTCCAAGGCTAACCTAGTTAATGAAAAGCCCAACCAAAGAGACAATTGAAACAGAAGGCCTGACAACAAAAATCATAATAGACCCAAGACCAACAACCCGACATTCAAAAGGAAAGGAAACTTCTTTGTTTGTGGGAAACTAGGGCAACATGCTCCACAATGCAGGCACAGGAAGAGGAACGACAACCCTGCCAAACCAAGTGCAAACCTGTTTGAGGTAGATGTCATTGCTGCAGTCGTTTCTCAGGTCAACATGGTTGCCAACATCAACGACTGCGTGGTAGACTCTGGTGCTACCAGGCACATCTGTGGTAACATAAGTGTTTTTACCTCCTACACACCTGTAGGGGAAGGAGAAGAAACTGTTTACATGGGCGATTCAAGCTCCTGTTCTGGGAAAAAGGGAAAGTTCTTCTCAAGCTCACATCGGGAAAAGTCCTATCTCTGAGTGATGTTCTCCATGTCCTTGAAATTAGTGTGAATCTTGTGTCTGTGTCATTACTTGGCAAGGTATGGAGATGAATATTATACATTCATAATAGACAATGATCCATTAACATATACTGAGGCTATTGCATCTCTAGACACATCATTCTGGAAGGAGGCAATTAATGATGAGATTAGATCTATTATGCAGAACCATACTTGGGAATTAGTAGACTTGCCTCTTGGAACTAAGACCATAGGTTGTAAATGGATATTTAAAAAGAAACTTAAACCTGATGGATCAATTGAAAAATTTAAGGTTCGATTGGTAGCTAAGGGCTATACACAAAGGAAAGATGTAAACTACTTCGATACTTTTGCTCCTGTGACTAGAATATCCCTTGTGGGGAAGGGATATTGTAGTCAAGGTCTCTTTGTTCTGAATGTACTTGAGATTATCAATGAAATGCTAGTACCTCTTCTGCTTATGTGCTTGACTCTATTGATTTATGGCATGGTAGATTAGGTCATGTTAGTTTTTCTTACATAAACAAAATGAAGAAAATTGGTATGATTTCTGGTATCAATAATACACACATGGATAAATGTGAAATATGCACAGAAGCTAAAATTACTAAAAAGAGCTGTAAATCAGTAGAAAGAGAATCTGAACTATTTAGTTTAATTCACACTGATTTAGGCGACTTAAAGTATCTTTGCTTAGAAACAAAGATGAAACTTATAACGAGTTCATAAAATATAAAACTAAAGTAGAAAATCAACTAAATAAGAAAATTAAAAGATTAAGATCTGATAGGGGAGGTGAATATCACCCACTTGATGAATTCTGTGAAAAAGAAGGAATCATTCATGAGATAATGCCACCATACTCACGTGAGTTGAATGGAGTAGCAGAAAAGAAAAATAGAACACTTAAAGAAATGATGAATTCTATGCTAATAAGTTCAGGAGCACCCAATAACATGTGGGGGGAAGCTTTACTATTTGCTTGTCATATCCAAAATAGGATACCATACAAGAAAACTGGAAAGACACCTTATGAGTTATGACAAGGATACGCACCCAACTTAAAATATTTAAAAATGTGGGAGTGTTTAACAAAAGTAATATTAATTGAACCAAGGAAAAGAAAAATAGGCTCTAGAACCTCAGATTGTATGTTCATAGGATATGCTGAACATAGTGTTGCATACAGATTTATAGTACTTAAGAGTGATGTACTTGAGCCTAATACCATAATTGAGACTAAGAATGCTGATTTCTTTGAGTACATATTTCCTCTAAAATCCAAGTTAGAAAAAATATCCCAAATTTCTTGTAGTGAGATCGAAAAGGAAACAACTGTAAATTTAGAAATAGAGTTAAGAAGGAGTAAGAGACAATGGAAAGAAAATAATTATGGAAATGAATATTATACATTCATAATAGACAATGATCCATTAACATATACCGAGGCTATTGCATCTCTAGACGCATCATTCTGGAAGGAGGCAATTAATGATGAAATTAGATCTATTATGCAGAACCACACTTGGGAATTAGTAGACTTGCCTCCTGGAACTAAGACCATAGGTTGTAAATGGATATTTAAAAAGAAACTTAAACCTGATGGATCAATTGAAAAATTTAAGGTTTGATTGGTAGCTAAGGGCTATACACAAAGGAAAGATGTAAACTACTTCGCTACTTTTGCTCCTGTGACTAGAATCTCCTCTATTAGAGTTTTAATTGCATTGACTTCCATTTATAAACTTGTAATTCTATCACGAAAGACATCAGCTTTTCTTTAGCCAAAATACCGAAGCCTTCTTCTTTCGTCTTCACAAAAATTATTTCTTCATTAGTTTTTTCAATAATTTTAACCAGTGGACTAATCCAGTTCGAGTTGTTCCTTGCTCCTCACATTATGAGTGCACGTTTGCGAGAAGCAGTCATTGTATCATGGAGGATAGTCGCCATTGTCCTGCTGCACCGAGTTTCGTACTCTGAGGAGTGAAATTTATCCTTAAGAGCAGTGATTATTCATGCTTTTACTGATAAGTTTCTTTGATCTCTCTTTATTATTGTATTTAGCATCCATATGCACAATTCTTTTACAACAATTCTCGATGAATCTCTGTTTATCTTCAATTTTAACAGTACACTACAAACTCAACCTTCTCACAAACATTACACAGAAACCCATCAGCTACCGTGGTTCCCAGATAATTTCTCCAACGAGAAAGTCCGGTCTCGGGGATTCCGATGCTGTAGTAGAGATTGTCGCAGGTTCCATTTACGCCAAGAGAGTAGTAGAAGGAGGTGCCATTGTTCCATTCTACCTCATAATTCAGTTCACCAAGTTGCCATTGTCTGGTGTACACATTTCGACTCTTTGGCCAATCATACCACATGTTATTTATTAGAAGGGTACGGTGCCAAAAAATAATCACTTTTCGATATCATAATCTTACCCTAACTATGAGATTATTTGAATTTCCACCCCACTTTCAAGGAGAAATAACCAGTCATGCAAACTCATGTCCTTATCAATTCTATCACTCCTCATATATAAGAACGCATACTTTCCCAATATAAATACACCAGTTTGGTGTAATTTGTAAGTTGCACGGGTACTCTTATGAGCATCGATCATCACATACTGTGTATCGTTCTTGTCAAATGTTTTATTATCAAAATCTTCATAAAACAAGTGGTCCTCTACAAAATATATACCTGAAGCGAAATGTATGTTTATCACAAAAGCCAAGGAACAAGATTATTTATGCTTCTATAACTAAGCATGTTCAACTTTAGTCTACAAAGCTCAATTTTCTATTAGCAATGAAAACCCCAGTAGCTAAGTACAGCAATTTCACATTAGAAATGGAAAAACCCCATTAACTTCGCACCTGATCATGACTGGAAAAACTTTCTCCACAATCACTGAGAAGCAAACCGGCATGGCAGACCTCACCATCAACGCCACAGTTGAAGCATTGATCGGACTGGACAATTCCAGAGTTCTGATCTTAAACCTAGCAAGGACTAGTGAAATGCAAATGTATATGTCAACTATGGTATGCATTTTAATGAGATGTAAATCAAGCATCCCAATGTGGTTCTCCCATCAAATGAAGCTCTGCCATGTATCTGCTGCTAGGATTTGCTCTCATGGTTCCCATGTCTTTGTTCTGGTTAAAACAGTAATCAGGAGCTTGAATCACTGAATCAGGCAACACTTCTCCAACATCAAAGGTAATCATGTGTGTAGAAATTCCTAGATGATAAATTTGCACAATAGATAGTCAGCAATCATCATAAATAAATACAGAAATGAAGCAAATAAATGTGCTTACACTACCTGTTCTCTTGTTGACAAATTCTATACCTATCCTTTGCCTGGATAGAGATCCTCTCCATTATACCTTCATTCAATGATAAATTATCTACCATGAATTTAAGTAGGACCCTATTACCGAAATTTTTTTGAGTAAATGTGTAATGGAAATGATTTTGATCCTTGTTTCCTTTCCCTTTTGATTATTCGTCCCTCGTGGCTCTTACAAGTACTGGTTGTCCATATATTGCAAGGGCAATTCCATTGTTGTAGAAGCTTGCAGATAATATTCTCTCATAGATAGACAATTGTCTCTTATTTTACGAATATGAATGCTTCAATCTAGCATAGAAGTCAGACTTCGAATGATAACAAGTGTTCATTCACCAAAGCGATACATAATGGGTTCTAGTTTGGGAATCGGTCTTTTGAAACAATGCAGAGGACCACCGTTAAAAAGGCAGAATCTTAATTGAAATGTTTCCTCAATGAAAAAGTAGTATCCAATACACCATATTCTCAATTGTACTGTAATAGAATTTGAAAGAGGTAAGTGATTGACAATTTTATCTTCATTTCAAGTATTGGATCTCTTGGGCTTGAGAATATGTTGTAAATATGAAATTAATAATCAATCAACCTATAATTCAAGGGACATTAGAGGTCAATATAGAAGTCAAAGTGATGCACGTTAAGAAAATGAAAACTACTATTTGGATGTAATTAAGAGAGTTAATTTGAAGATCTAATTCAATACAACATTTAATTTAAAAAAGTGTTTCATGTAACACTAGAATTTCGAACTAATCCAACGACCGCATTGAATTCGATCTCTAAATTAAGTCCTTATAATATTGCGCCGAGAAAATATGAAAAAATTTTCATGGGTTCATGAAAAATAGAAAATGTCGTACCCACCTGGTACACAATACTTTCTCACCTGTATCTCAGCTTGTGAAAGATATGTTAGATAAACTTTACACAATTCAAATTCTCGGACTCGAACTCGCAGCGTATCGTGCTGGCGAATAAGCATTTATTATCCTTCAAGATATTCGTGTTTCTATGATTTTGTGACCACTATAACTACATGCACAAAGAAAATCAAAAGGAAAAAAGATCACAAACCATCTGAGAAGTCCCATTTGACTGGCCTCTTTGTGAGCACATCCTCGTAGTACACTATAAACTCAACCTTCTCCCAAACATTACACAGAAATCCATCAGCTACCGCGGTCCCCAGATAATTTGCTCCGTCGAGAAAGTCCGGTCTCGGGATTCCGATTCCGAAGTAGATATTGTCGCAGGTTGCATTTGCCCCAAGGGAGTAGTAGACTGTGGTGCCATTGTTCCATTCAATTACATATAGAAGCACATCAAGTTGTTGCTGTCTGGTGTACACATTTCGACCCTTTGGCCAATCATACCACATGTTGCTGATTAGGAGGCGATTGGTTGACAGGTTTGTGTATAGAAGTGAATGGAACTGTTCTGGCCATGGTTTGGGGGTTGGCAAGAGTTCATGTGATTTGGCTAAATGAGTAAGACTTACTAGTTGGAGGAGGAGGATGATGGCAGGGTATTGCAAGTTCATCTCTCTCTCTCTCTCTCTGTAAGAAAAGAAAAGGAGGCGCTCTGTCACAGTTTAAGAAAAGAAAAGGATAAGGTGCGCATCCTTGCTTGGCTCAGAAACAGTTATAGAATACAACGGTACCTATAATGTTATAGTTAGCCGACTCAATTTTAAGAGTAAATTTAGATTCTAAATAACATGGTAATTGACTATTTAAAGTTTTTGTTGGGACCTAAATGACATGACATCAAATAAAAAAATCCAAGTCAATTGAGATTTCATTTGAGTTTCAAATTTGATCCCAAAATTTAATTAATATAACATTACTCTACCTATAATAATACAGAGAGCTTCTTCCGACGATTCATATGACGATATAATTTTTTCATTACAATAATTTATTTAAATTAAAAATTTTAATTATAATAACTCATAAATTTTAATTTTTTAATCATAATAACTCAATTAACACATTAAAAAAGACATACTTTGCAAAAAAAGCCGTGGCTTGTGTGCTATCACAAGACAAGAGGTTGGCTTCCCGCCACTTGAATTTAGAAAAAGAGTTACGATATTTGAACTTAAAATTTTAATTTAATATATTGACTTAATGATTTAATTTAAGTGGAATCATTCGATCAACACCAAATTTTAATATTTGATAGAATCTACAATAAATCTAAAGACCGCAGTAAATCAACTTAATAAATTATGTTTCAATATCATCGCTCAATTTAGAAAATTAAATACTTCCGCTTGGGTTTCTAACTACAACATTATATGGAAGTCAATTTGGATGCTATATAACCAAAAATTGGTTATTAATGATAACTTGATGAATATTAAGACAATAGTAAGACAATGCTATGTGGACTTCATTTATAGACCTAATTAAATATAATAATTTAATAAGTTATGAGTTTCAATTTTAGACAAAGCACACTTTTAATTTAATGGTTATATTGAATTAAATCTCAAGATTATGTCCCTTTAATAGATTCAAATAGTATTATTATAATTGTAATTTTTGGACTTCTTTATAATTTCATCATTGTTACATCATTATTTCAATAAATTATATCAGATTTAAGTCTCAATAATATTTCTCTTATTTTAATATGCGAATTATTTTTGGCCAGAAACAACCATTCTTTAAAAATAAAAATGTGTCATCTCAACCGTTGAATAATTAACATAACCCAATAGTTAGAGAAAATTTTGTAGAGTAATGTTTTACTTATTAAGTTTCTTACCAAAATTTCCATTATAATTGATATGATACAATCTTCATCATTAAATATAATGAGATCCACTTATTTGATGGTAAAAATTACTATATCACATAATTTGAGATGAAAAATTTGACAAGAAATTTTGGTCAGCATAGTATGGTTGAATTGTGTATGACTTTAACATACCATGTGACGCTACCATGTAGTGTGCACACTCAATGAGAGGATACCACAAAAATAACTTGTGGGATACATATAAATTGAGTTTTTCAAAAAGAAAAAAATTCATTGGACATTTATAATTTTTTTATAGGTGATGTATACTCAATGGTACTACCATGCGGTGTGGTAAATTCATTGAAAAATTTCTTCAATATAGCATATACTAATCCACTGATAAACATGGCACTCGTAAGGGAAAGTCAAACGGTGTAATATTTTTTTTGGCTTGAAAAGGGTACATGATAATAGACATTGGCACATTGCAACATGGTTACTACTTATTTACCCAAAAAACAAATCATGGTTAAAACTTAAGCTGATCAACATGAACATAAAAGCCCAACCTTCAATGGTAAGTACTTTGGACAATTTTTGCTTCAGTTGTGTCTGAACGAAGAGAGAATATAAACTCAACTTAAATTTGGACAATAATAGGATTGTGCACTCTCAAGGTTAAATCTAAACTTAATTGAATATAATTTTCTATTTTGAATTATAATTGAATATAAATTAAAATATGAAAGATGTAACTCGAAAATTCAGTTCGATTTCAACCCCAATCAAACTTGATTTTCGATTCTGTATAATTCAATCATACACAATATTCGTCAACCCGTCCGGGTTTTCATCCAGCCAAGGAACAAGAAGAGAGAAGTAGGCTGTGATTGCCTGGTATATCTATCGAGAAACCTGGACATCACATCATTCACCATCCCGTGTCTCTTGCCAAAATTACTGAACCAGAAAAAATTGTAGTCAAGCTACCCCCTCTCTCCCTCTCCCTCTCCCTCTCTCCAACAGAAAATGGAAACCTGAATTAACAAACCCTTTTTTTTCAAACCACACAAACATGTCAGTCACCGGCGGTCACGTCGCCGTGTTCGCTTTTCCGTTCGGCACCCACGCCGCCCCACTCCTCACTCTTGTCCAAAGATTGGCCGCTGCTGCACCAAACTTGAGATTTTCCTTCTTCTGTTCCACACAATCCAACCAAAAAGCTTTTTCCAGAGTAAAACACGAAGGATTTGATAATATAAAACCATACAATGTCGCCGACGGTGTGCCGGAAGGGCACGTGTTTTCCGGCCATCCACTGGAGGCTATGGAGTTTTTCTTAAATGCTATGCCGAAAAACTTTAAAAGCCGGCTTGAAGATGTGGTAGAGGAGACAGGTTTGAAGGTGAGTTGCTTGCTGACGGATGCGTTCTTGTGGTTTTCCGGCGACATGGCGGAGGAGATGGGCGTTCCTTGGGTGGCGTTTTGGACGGCTGGGCCTTGTTCCATCTCCATTCATATATATACTGATGTCATCAGGAACACTATCCAATCAACAGGTAAGGATTGGTTTTGGTTGCCCAAATTAACTGACTTACATAGAAATCCATTTGGTTTTGTTTTTGCAGATTGAGAACATTTCTTCGAGCAATCAATTAGAGGATAAGTTTGAATTCTCAATAAAAATGTTTGCCCGAAATGGCAGTTCAAGTGGTAGCACGAGCAATCAATTCAAATATTTTAAATTTAAATTTTAACAATTTTTTAAGCCTAGATTATGAAAAACTTATTTCTTCATAAATATTCTAGCCTTAATAACTTTAACGGACGAAGCCAAAAAAAAATAAAAATTCAACAATTTGACTGGAGGGTCTAGTCGAGTTGTTTATATTAATTTTATTAAATAGAAGGCTGCATCTCAATCATTCTCAAAGGCAAGAAAAGATGTGTTTTATCTAGGCGTCTCTCTATCCTCCAACTCCCCTTCAGAATTTTTTTTCTCTCTTTTCGTAGGGTGGCTAATATTATTCATGTTGAGTGCTTCTTCCACTACCCATAACGTAGATGGAATGAATTGTAACGATATTGATGAGATTGTAATTCTGACACTGGTACATATTAAAAATATATTAACTTCTCTTTTGGGTTTCTTCCATAATTCTTTTGGTATTATTATGTTAATCAGAATCTACACTCATCTTTACTCATATGAATATGTATGTACACACAGCAGGCAAGGCAGAAAATGCAGACCAAACCCTAAATTTCCTTCCAGGAATGGCACCAATACATGTTAATGATTTACCTGAAGGAGTCCTGTACGGAAATTTAGATTCACCATTCTCACGCATGTTACATAACATGGGACTAACAGTGGAACAAGCAACAACAGTTGAAGAAATAGACCCTGTCATCACAGATGATCTCAAGTCTAAGATGAAAAAAGTGCTAAATGTTGGACCCTTTACTCTTGCAGCACCACCACCCATCATATTCCGACGAGAATGGATGCATATCATGGCTGGACAAGTGCGAGACTGCGTCAGTGGCATACCTAAGCTTTGGTACCATACTGACACCGCCTCCTCCGGAACTACTATCATTGGCTGAAGCTTTAGAGGAAAAAGGCGTGCCGTTTATTTGGTCATTCAGAGACAACTCAAAACAGCATGTTCTAGAAGGATTTCTCGAGAGAACAAGGAACCTTGGAAAGGTTGTTCCATGGGCTCCTCAGTTGCAAGTCCTGCAGCATCCTTCAGTGGGAGTGTTTATAACGCATTGTGGATGGAACTCGGTATGGGAAAGTATTGCAGGCGGTGTGCCGATGATTTGTAGACCATTCTTTGGAGATCAGAAGTTGAATAGGAGAATGGTGGAGGATGTATGGAAGATTGGGGTGGGTGTTGAGGGTGGTATCTTCACCAAATGTGGAACAGTAACCGCATTGGACCTCGTTTTGTTGAATGAAAAGGGGAAGAAAATGAGAGAAAATACTGGCGGGATCAAAGCGAATGCTGTGAAAGCTGTTGGCACAAATGGGAGCTCAACTGAAAATTTCGAAACTTTGTTAGAAGTAGTGACAACTTCCAAGAAGACTTAACTAAAACATCGGCCATTTTGCTAAGTTATTAAGGTTACCTTTTGGATTATTTGTTATGTTTATTTATTTATCTTATGTCACGCCTTTAGTTTATAACTCGACTCTGCTTTATTAATACCAAGTTTTTGGGTTTGATTAATTTGATTGGAAGCATGCATTATATAGGGTACATATAGCTTGACACATATAGGAAATATAATAAAGGATAATTAAGGTAAGAAATATCAAAGGAAAATACAACATTAAATATCATAAGTATCGTCACCAAAATTAATTTCTCGCTGAATGGAAATTAAAATTACTAAATCAGATGTTTGATAGAGACCAAGTAGAGTTTGTGTTGGTTAGGTAAATATACAAATATAACATGATCCATTAATACGACATAAATACGATATGAAATTAGAGAAAATACGGAGAGAGAATGGTGGACTAAAAAGGTTTTGTTGAACTTCAAAGTTGTGATTGCCAAATATAGGACCACAAACATTTGACAAAAAAGACCCAAAGAAAACACCTCAGGAAAAAGCCCACATTGAACTGCTCATTGTTGAATCCAATCAAAAGTGAAAATTAGTTTGAATCCATTGCACTTTAAAACTGTCAAATATGTGAAAGGTTAAGGGTGAAATATCTTCAAATCCATCATTGAAGAGACAAAGTGATATTAATTAATGGCATCATTTAAGGGACATAAAGTAATTAACCGAAGAAATTCTGTAGCAAGCTTGCCTTTCTATGCTTGTACTACTCTCTTCAACTTTGTCCTGAGGAAACTATTAGTAAGTAGCAATGTCCAAGGTTTTTTTTTTCTTTGATATGCTTGCAAAGTACAAAATTTGATATGCTTGCAAATGCATCACCCAGTTATATAATGACCGATCGAAAGCAAAATTATTTTCTCATTTTTACAAAACAATGGAGAGTTTTGTGATGAAAATGGAGAGACATAAAAGAAAGACTTCCAACAATATGGCAATTTGCTTCTGTGTATTTTTAAGAAGAGTGTACATAATACAGCTTTTGCTGAAAGTTTAGATCACAAGTACAAATAACAGGTTTCATTCTCAAAATCGAGTCCGTAACTGTAATGATCCCTCGACCCGTTAATTAAATACTTCCCGGGTTAATAAAAATTATATCCCTTGACAAAATACAAATTAAAACAATGGTCATTTTCATTGCTGACCCATTGAATATAGGTATTATTTCCTTTTGGAAAGAAGGTAGGAAAAAAGATACTGAGAAGGACAAATGCACTTGGTAAGACTAGTTGAAGTACACGTGTGTTGCACGTGAATCATTATAAATATAACAATTACATATAATTATGGTAAACACTTTCTACAATCAAAAGTTTGAGGGCATTTGATGAGGAATGAAAGGGAAATTATAATGTCCCTTGAATTTTGTTGTTATTGGATATTCAGGAAATATTCCCTCTTCTCCCACACCTTCTTTCCTTCTACTCCCTAATGTTTCATATGAATAATCAAGAAAGATTGGCTACGGGATTTACTATGATTTTTTAATATTATCCAACTGTTACCGAGGCTTTTGCTTCTGGAATGAAAGGGAAATTGTAATGTCCCTTGAATTTTTTTTATTATTGGATAATCATGAAACATTCTCTCCTCCCACACCTTTTTTCCTCCTTGTCATGATGTTTCATAAGAAGAGTCAAGAAAGATTGAATAAAGGAGGTGATTTCCTACTGAATTGCTTGATTAGCCATCCATGGCTCGCGGTCTAGGTGTTATAAGTGATTAGGGATATATATTTTACTCCACAGAATAATATGAGTTAGTTATGTATGGTAATTTACGTTATGTTTTTCTTTATAGAAGATAATTTGGATCTTCGAGGAGATAATTCACCTTTAAACAAGACAATAGAACCCCATACAATTATTAAATATGTCAAATTCTTTTTTTTTAATGAATTGCATTAATTAAGAAACATGCTCAATTTATAATGGACTTAAAAACTCAGCTCATATTTATGTCATAATACAACCCATAGAATTATTTTATCTAGCAAAAATAAGGGAAGATAAACCCACCAGCACATGTCAATTTCAAAAATTTGCAAACATGCTTCTCTAAAACTTTAGGATGAACATATGCTGAGTTTTTGACCAAAATCAGCCTCCCCACCATCTTTATTCTCAAACTCAGCCTACTTTTAATACCAAAATACCCTTATAGAGTGTATCAACCTAAATCACATTTCTTTCAGATATTTTTTCATTTATCTCTCTCCTCATCCTCCTCTCTGTCTCTCTCTCTGTCTCTCTTCGGTCAAATTCTCTCTCTCATTTTTATTTTTTTGCCACTCTCTCTTTCCTCTCTCAATTCTTTTTTAAGCCATATCCCTATTCCCCCTATGTTTCTCCCTCTCCTCTGTCACTCTCTCATCTTTATCTTTTACTAGACTCTCTCTCCTATTTCTTACAGCAATTCATATCTTTTATTTCTTTTCTCTCTCCTCTCTCTTGTATCAATTCCCCCTCTCCCTGCCTATTTATCTCTCTCTCTCTCTTTTATCTCTACCCTCAACTTAGCTAGTAAATATTGGGTGTAACTTTACACCACATTGCCACATGGTATCACCGCCTAATAATAAACAAATAAATGGACAACAATGAATCATATTCCTTCAAATAACCACCCTTCTATCACATATTCAAAAAATAATCATTAAATTTTGTATATAAAATAATTCATGAAAGATAGTAACCGTCACAAATTCAATAAGTGAACTACTATCTCTTTCTTGATCTGATTAAATGCTTGCTCTTTTCCACGTACTTGTTTTCTTGATATGCTTTCTACAACTATAGATTTAGAGTTAATCAAGTATCACCACGTGTCAAACTGTGTCAGGCGGGAGACGTAAGAAAAATTCAGAATTTCTACATTAATGAGTTCTAAACTTACAGAAGTTATTTACAATCAAACTTGAAAATGGCATAGATGACAAATTGGACTTCCCACATTCAAGTCCAATGACCTGCATGAATCAAAATCTATTTTCCTCTATGAGGTTTAAATCTCTATATAGCCGAGTGAAGTTGCCTGAACGTAGTCAATCTGTGTAAAACTGTACCAAAAACATCATAGAACATAATCACTGATTCAGTCTGTGTTAACTGCACAGACATGAAACCTTGCCCATCATAGAAGAACATTACATCTTCTCTGTTTAATCTTTTAACATTTCCCCTCCATGCCTTTGAGCCCGCGCCACTGGTTAGAAACAGGATGGGGCTACAACAAGAACACACACAAATATTAGTGGCATCATAAAAATCTTGACCTTTTAGAATCACGAATAGGTCTACTACTGAATACCTTTCATTATCGCTAATGTGTTCAAGGCAATGGTCATGCCCATTCATGTAAAAATCGACATTGCAGGTCTGAGATTCATAGTATGAATAGCACAGTGAGTTTGGTTGAAGATAGAAAAATGAAAATTTTGGTTTTTTTGAAAATATAGAAATGAAACGTTTCGTCTTCTATTTTCGTTTCTGAATTTACCTTAAGAATTGGAAGAAGCCTCTGTATAAGTTCCTGAGTGTCACCATGGTGACCAACAACTATTTTCCATTTCGCCGTTGATTGCCTCAATGCTGATTCAAGTTCTTGTAATAAATAAGGATTAAATGCAACTTTCAAATATAATGTCAAACCCGAAGGAGCTCAAGTGATAACATGAACGGACTGTAAATTCAGATGTTTTCATTTCGAGTTTTGACAATCCTTTATCGTCATGTTATGAGAATTTATTTCTCATTAATATCTTAGTTCGGCGTGGATGGTCTGTCATAAACCTAATCAAGAAAGGGATTAGTTAAGGTACACGTATAATTAAGTTAGTTCAAACATTCTTAACCACCGAAAATATATATATATATATATTTATATAATAAAACAAGAGTGTGTTTGAATTTTATCTCAGTCAAACTCAAATGTCAAATCACATCACTCATTTCAATCACACATTTAATCATTTATATATTTTTTCCTTAAAAATATTACACCACTCATTTATATCATATGCTTAATTATTTAATATTTAATTAATTTATAGTTAATATATTTTGAAAAAATTTAATATAGTGGGATCGATTTTTTTAACATTCAAATTTTATATTTATTGTGCCTTCAGACACGAGTTATGACTAGTATATATATATTGTCAATGTTGAAACCTCACATTAAATTGCCTTTTAGCCACTATTAGGAGGAAGAAAATTTCATAAGCTACCATTTCACTTGATTAACTATCAGTCCCTTTTTTTTTTTTTTCGGTTTCTAGGGAAAAGGGGCAAGTAGGATTTGTGGCACCCCGGCCCTGTACCCTGATAGAAGGGTCAGGTGAAGAGATCCAACGACCTACCCAGATCGTGGTATAACATATCAGCCTCCAATGAGAATATAGGATTTGAACCCAGAAACTCACACCCAAGGCTTTCACCTTAATTTTTTTTGGGTAAGTTTCAGGTTCAATTCAATGTTCAACCCAAATTAGTGAATTCGAGTCGAGTCTCGGAACCCTAAGTAGTCATTGAACCAGTGAAACGAATGGTGCATTGACTATTTGCCACTATGCAATTGACTAGGATTCTTCTTCACACAATTCCACCTAGTAGTATTAGATGTTGAACTAAGAGGAAAAGAAATTGAAGGAGGAAGGACAAAAAAATGTTCCGGTGACTGTTAACCACTCATGAAAAAGAAATTAATGAGCAATGTTATAGAAATTTAATCAGGATCTAATTCAATACAATTATTAAATTAGTTGTAAGTTCTAATATTAGATAAAATTTACTTTTAATCAAACAGTTATAATTGATTAGATCTCTAAATCGAGTTCAAATAACATTTTTCTTAACAAAATACCAATAGACTTACCTTTTAACACTTTTGCAATGTAAGTTTTTTGAGGCGTGACGCCTCGCCAATCATAACTATGTTGCTTTTCAGTGAAGTACTCTTCTGCGAAAGGAGTGGTATCTACAAAAAACAAATCCGCAATTTCTAGAAAAGGCATAAAAAAAAAGAGGTATTACACAACAATGATTTGAAAACCCTAAAAAAAGAGAAATTATTGCATCATTGAGCCTTTGATTTGCATTACTGTAACATGCGCTTTGTATCAGTTTTATCTTAATTCTTTCAGTTTTACTCGTCCTTTCAATATTGTCATTTTAGTCTCTCAATTTTCTAATTTGTTTACTTTGGTGAAATCAAAAAACACACTTCAAAGTAACTAACAGAGGTAATCACGTATCAATCATTTGGACCACACACGTAAGAGGTTTCTTTGGTCCCTCACTTGATACACCATTGACTATTGTTGTATATTAACTTAAATAATCATTTGTAATTTACACTAAAAAGTGGCACAAATTGAAAATCTAAGGGACTAAAGTGAAATATAAAAAGAAAGAGAAGTAAAATGAGACAAAAAACAAAAACTTGAGGGGCTATAAGAAACATAATTTTCACCTGCATTGACCAGGAAAGATCTCAAGCAAATCCATCTACTGTCAACTTTCCTAAGAAGAGGGCTCAGTTGTGCCTCTGCATCACCTCTGTAATCATGGTTGCCAAGAACTGCATGGAAAATATATTGAAAACAGAATTTATTGGGGAATTCAGTAAATTATCAGAAATATGGGGATCTTAGTTTCATTCAGCTAAAGTGTGGAGTACTTGCCGGCGTACCACTGCTTTTGCAGGCTCTTTGGTGTGTAGATTTTGGTAAATGAGTCCTCAAATGCAGGGTCAGTTGAAACAATGAAATCTATGTCTAATCTCTTTCCAATTCTTCCCATCTGCAAACAATGGAGATTTGAGTTTGGTATTTCAATTACGAGAAAAAAAAAATTTCTTTTTTTACAAATGTCCAAGCTAGCATCGACTTCTTCCTCAAATTTATCTACTGGTCATCATGACTTAAGTTAGGAACTTAGGATAGCGCATGCTCCTCTTTTTGTTGTTTTTATTGTGGCAATGTTTTTTTAGAACCGGTTTCCTTGAATAAATTACACTTTGACCCCCCCTAACTGCATAGTATATTTAACTTTACCTCTTGAACTATAAAATTTTTCACATTGCCTCTCAACTATTTGAATTATTTCACATTATTCAAATGCTAACGCCTGTTATATTTTTGGATGAAAATTGCCAATGTATCCGAGCAGAGAGAAAAAATCATATAATTTGGAGACTAAATGAAACAACTTTCTATCAAATTTGTAATCGACATTAATAATTGGAGCAATGTGAAACTAATCACCTAATTGACGGTGCAACATAAAAAATATAATTATTGAGGGGACAACGTGAAAAAAAAAGTCATAATTAAAGAGGTCAAAATGTAAGTTGTCTTTTTCTTATCAAATTTCTTTAGTCACCGATGAAGGGCAACCACTCCGTGAGCGTTTAGTGGAATGGGCAAAGCAAAACCTACTAATTCAATGGTCTCTATAAATTGGTATTGTTGTTAAAATATGATTGTTTTAGCGCACAAAAAAACTTTAAAGAATATTTTTTTCAGAACATATTTATAATGAATATATTTTCATAAAAATTACCGCAGTTTGGAAAATAAATTGAAAAAGACAATATTTGGGGGGGGGGGGGGGAATTAATAAAGTGTGTGGTGACCGTGGACAACGACAATGGTGGATAGAAGCGATAGTGGTGGTGATGGGGTGACATTGGTGGTGGTGGTGGGTAATAGTGGTGACAGTGGTGGTAGCGAGCGGCAACGGTGATGATGGAATGTGGAGAAATAATTTTCAGAAAATCGAAGTTACTTTCTTTAATTTTACATACTTATTTAAGAAATAAAAATACTTTTGACTTATTAAGAAGTAATTAAAATAACTTGTTCCAAATACACCTTTTTTTAAAAAGTGCTTAAGAGAAATCACAAGTTTTAGAAAAACTTTTGAAAAATCACTCTAAACTCACTTATGATATGTTTGATATGAGAGATGAAAAATAAAAAGGATGAAAAAAAAGAAGGAAATAAGAAGGATGAAAAAAGAGAAGGAATGCATTTTCAATCATTTGAGAAAGGAAAAATGATTTCCCTCTTCCTTGTTTGGTAGGATAGATGAAAAAGTCGAAAAAATAAATTTTTATTGAATTATATGTATGAGAAAAAAAATTAAGAGAAAAATATAACTTATTAAATTACATGACTACCCTTGTATTTGTATAAAATATGGAGTTGAAAATATCCTAGAGTTCCCACTACTATGCTGTTATGTCTTTTAAAAATAAAAATTGTGGACCCCACATTCCTTTTGTTTTTTGAGAAGCAAGTAGCAACTGTCAAGGTTGTCGACTCAAATTTTAATATATAAAAAAATATATTTTAATTAACTCAAATTTTAATCAAATTTTATATAAAAAAATTATTTAAGGTTTATGTAAGGGCAATTTTGATATTTAAGATAATTTATTTTGTTATAAATTATGGTTTAATGAGAGGAAATGTCAGTGATATTTAAATATAAACTAGAAAAGGTGTCAGTGATGTTTTTGATAATAGAAAAGATATCTTTTAAGATATGATAACCTAAAAATGGTATGACTGATTTTTTTTTTTATAAAAAGGCCACTACTTTTAAGGGGGCATTGTGGTAAATTCATGTATTGAACAACTTTTCATTTTTCGCCTAAATTTGAGCGGATTAAAAATGGTGGGCAATAGGATACTCTTTCCATCCCTTTTTTCTTTCCTCTCCATTTTACAAATGAACAAGAATAGATCTTATAAAATTAGAAAGATTAAACAGATTAGTCGTAATAAATTAAAAAGATGTGTATAAAATTTGAGTGTAAAACTTGACTAATAATCATTATCTCAAAAAGTGAGAATTTTTTTTAAGTAATATTAAAAAATAAAAAAGACTTTATTTAGAGTCGCCACTATAAACCTCAAAGTGTATCGAGTTGCCCCTAATGACCTACTTGAAAGATTTTGAGAAGTTGAAGTCAAGTAAGAGATAAGAGGTACAAATAGATGTGTTAAATATAAATAGTCGCATATACATACTATAGGTATGACATAGCTTATGTGTAATGTTTAATAAATATTAGATGCCAAAATTACCAAAAAAGAATGAATAATAATAATTTTACATTTTCTATAAGTTAAATTTAAAGCCTTGTTTAATTAATTTATTTACAATGCATGAAATGACTATAAAATAAAATGAGTACAAGTAATGCACTATCTAAAATTAATTAATCATAGTTGTCTTACTTAATTTTCTTATTTAAAAATAACCACGTTTCACTAAAATATCTAATAATATCTCATTTATTTTAGGATCACTCAACTTGCATAAATTCTTATTTTTACATTTTAAAAAATCATTTTATAGTTAAACTAATTTTTAATTATATTTCTCTTTATCTTAAACAAATAGCATGCATTGTTGCATTTAATCTCCATATTTGATTTCGGTTAATGCAATTTTTATTGTAAAATTTGAATTTAAAATTTGAAGTAGTATATTGTATATCAAAAGGCCAAACAAATAATTTTTAAATAAATATATTTTAATAACTGTTTAATACTATTATTCTTATTGAATAAATATTAATAGAGTCTTAAATAACATTTTCGCCCGAAGGCCATGAAATAAAAGTTGGCGAAAAGGAAGGCTTGCAGAGAAAAGTATGTATAAAGAAATACAGTAATGCATCGAGAAAAAATGGGTATTCGTCTAAATTTGTTCCATTTAGACCGGGGTAAACAATACATATTAGATAGTGAACGTATACATAGATATCCGTATGAGTCTGTATGGGGATGGGAATGGACTAAAACTCATTCTTGTCCCACCTCTTCTCGCCTGGCTAAACTAGTAATATATATATACTAGTTATAACTCGTGTCTGAAGGCACGATAATATTTAAATTTGAGAGTTCAAAAAATTGATTCCATTATATTAAATTTTTTTAAAATATATTGATTACAAATTAATTAAATATTAAATGATTAAATATATGATAGAAATGAGTGGTGTAAAATTTTTAGGGAGGAAATATATAAATGATTAAATATGTGATATAAATGAATGATATGATTTGATATTTGAGTCTGACAAATGGATGATGGATGAGTGAGGTAAGTGATTGGTGATGGTTTAAGGGAAAAAATATGACTGGAATAAAATTCAAACACACTCCTTGTTTTATTAAATAGATATATAACAAATAAAATTATTAAGTAAAATACGCATTTGTTATGCATATTATTTTTCCAACTTTTTATGTTTGATCTATTTGTTATATGATGAGTTTTCATCCTCCTTACAAATCTATTTTTTAAGATTTTATGGGTTTTTTTTAATTTTTTTCGTAAAATCATATAAATTAATTATTATGTGTGAGGACCGAGACATGGATTAAAATTTACCCGTGGGGCAAGGATAGGCACGAAGATTAAAATTCACCCCGTGAATGGGGGTGGATGAATACTTTTAAAACGGATACGGAGGTAAATACTATTCTCCCCGCCCCCGCCCCCGCCCCCGCCCCAATCAATTGTCATCTCTACAAGTATCTAGGAATGACAGTAAATGAGAACGAGGGCGGGGGCAGGAGAATAGTCTCCACTCCTGTACTTGCTTGAAAAAAGTACATCCATTCTCGGTCCATCTTGTTAACGGGAGAAGTTTTAATCCCTATCTCCACCCTGTGATTAAATTCTAATCCCCATCTCCGCCTACATCTCTGCCCCTGTCTCCGCCCATAATAATTAATTTATAAAAAAAGAAAATCAAATCCAAAGCAAGAATCAAGATAATACCATATTATAACATATTCAACACAATAGACATATTTAAATCAAGTGGTTTGTCCACTTCCATCTATATATGTGTCACAGGGTAATTTTCGTTTTTCTTTTGAGGCTACCTGTGAAGGCGTTGCTATTGCAACTAGCCACACTCAAACTCAAGAATAAGGGACAAAAACTCACACAGAAGGCACACACGAATTTACTAGGACAACACTCCCAAACCTTATGTATTGAACTCAACAATTTACAAAGACTCTCAAAGTCAGAACATTCCCCCTTTCCAGAATGCTCAAGCACCCCTATTTATACAAGAGGAAGGCAGTTGACACTCCCATCTGCCAAGGGGTAGTTACCCACGTTTTTGCTATTCTATAGCATACTAGGCTAGTAGGCTTGGTCTCTATGCAACACCTAACAAACAGTTCCACCACTTCCAATAACTGTTGTGGAACTGCCCTTCATTAGTATGCATCTAGACTGGATTCAGACTGGAGACGTCCAGAACTGCCTCAGCAACTGCTTTGACTGAGTCTCAACATCATAACTGCCCACATCCACCTGGTCACATGCATTGAGCAGCCATGTACCAGTCAGGTGCCCACATTCAGCAGCCAACCTTGCTACACGAATCAATGTGCATGCTGGGTTCAACCCATGCCATGCAAACCGAAGCTCTGCACCCAAATTGCTTCAATTGAGCCTACCCATGCTGCCATGCTCAACCGGGTGATCTCATGCTGCCTTGGTTTGCCCCAATCTGTCGAACCACTTAGCCGCATCACCTTGATTCCGATTTCTGGCATGCTTTGGTGCAAGGTGCCACCAAGACCGACCATTTGCACCCAAGTCAATTAGGGTGTAACAAGTCACCCCTACTTGAAGTATCCAACGACCTTGTTGGAATGGAGACATGGTATTGCTTGATGAGATCCTCGAACTGCCACAATGTCGTCTCTTTCTCCCAAGTGGCTTCCTCCGGTGCTTTCCCTTTCCACTTGACTAGGTAA